GGCATATCTAAATGTTTGCAGGCGCAAAATCTCTTTAGAGAGTGATGATATGATGTGTTTCTTTGACAGAAGATGGTTGCAAGTTGCTGCCCACATTCACCCAACTGCTGTATTAAACAAAGTACAGGAAAAAAAAAAAATTATCACTCCTTGTGCATTTTCTTGACTCTGTGGTAGACAAAAAGCTGGCTGCTGTAATATGCAATAAATAATACATATCCATGCCTCAGGTATAGAATGTCACTCAATCTCTTAAAACCTGAGAAGCCTCCTTGCAACACAATTGTTCATCTATTGCACAAGTTCTGCTGGCAGTTTGTGTGTTGACAGGCTGAGCCAGTGTGCAAGAGTTTGGAGTGCTAAGGGTTACTGTAATGAGGCTAGGCAAGGAGGGGAAATGAGGAATGCGAGGGGTTAAACGGGAGCGAGAAGGTCAGAAGTTGAAGCCGGGAATGTTTTCCACAGCCTGGCCTTCCCTTGCACAGGGCCTGTGTGGCACACAGTCCCCAGGAACAGATGTGCCCACAGCCTGGGTTAAAAACACCTCCCTCCATGTGGTGTCCCTAATACTGGTAAACACTGTTTGTGAAGCGCAGGAAGACAGAAGGTACTGGACATGGTATCAATGTGAACCCAGCTGCGTTCACAAGAGTCCCACTGTCTCTCTTTTGTAAACCATGGAACAAGACTCTGCGGTAGGACCCGCGCACAGTCGAAGGCTGATCTTTCCAATTTCTTTATCATTCATTGAAATGAACTCTCCTCCATCATCATTTCATCCAATTTTCCACATTTACAGCCTGTCTGTCAAAAACGATCCACGTGCACAGCTGGATGTTTAGCAGTGGGAACCTCAGGTCAAGTGGTGCAGTAGTTAAAGGGCCCTATCCCATTACATGGCCAACAGCCACCAAACAGCAGCCCTCTGTTCACTAACCCACAGTCTGAAACTTCTGTTGGACCTCAACACACTGGACTGGTGGTAGAGGGGGGGGGGCCGCACGGCAGGATGAGGGTTAAGTTCAATGCTGGACACAGCAGGGAGGAAATCCTGTCTGAGTCAGGGGTGAGGGGTCACTGGAGGTCAGTTCCTATCCTAAATCCTTAGTTTGGGGTTGTCAGATAAACTTTGACCTCGGAGCGTTCTTTTTAAGAGAAGCTTGTGCGGATCACCAAAGACAGAGCTGCTGTCTTGAACAGACACAGAGTTCCTTATTGAATCACTTTCTATGTGTGCCCTATACACCACAGTGGAAGCTCAGTTTCAAATAAAACCTCAAAAGCTCCAAAAGAAATCGTATGGTACCCTTCAAACATATCGAAAGACTTGATCAATCCTCACCCGGAGAACACTCAAAAGATAAACTTACATACAGCCACATGCAGTGGGCTTCTTTGGCAGACCAGATTTCACATCCCTTTCTGTTGACAATCAATCTGGTTCACCGACATGAGAGTCTGACTGTGATGCGGGCTACAGTGAAACAGGATCCTGCAGGCAGAAACTTAAAGGGGAAAGAGTGAGAGATACAGAAAGAGGTACAGAGTGAGAGAGAGAGAAAGAGAGAGAGAGAGAGAGAGAGAGAGAGAGAGAGACTGGAGGGAGCAGTGCTCTGCTCTGCTCTGTCTCCGATCAACTTGACATGTGCGACTTTTGTCTACTCCACGTCTCCGTTGGAAACCCCACACGCCAGTTTCATCAAACGGTGTTGTGAGGACTGGCAGGAAGGAAGTGGGTGGGACCAGTCTGAAATTTAAAAAAAGAAGAGAAGATGAAGGACAAGTTTTATTAACAGATTGGGTATATCAAAAGCAAAAGAGTACATTTCCAAGAAATGTAGCTCATTCCCAGCACTGAGTTTTCATCAAAATCATATTTTTCTTGTTGCTGAAGTTATCCGAGCAAATTTCACAGCTCCACAACATCCAGCGGCAATATCCCGTCATAATGAAAGCTTTCAATAATGGCTCTTATATTCCAGATTCAGTTCACTCTCTTCTGGCTGCCCGGAGGTTATAGCCTGCCTGGCTTGTGTTCATACTGGGAGCCCAACCAAATCATCTGCCCTACTCCTGATCTGGTGCCTCAACCTGACACACTGTATCAGGTTATCTTGCTTGTATTTAAGTGTGTGTGTGCATGTGTGTGTGTGTGTGTGTGTGTGTGTGTGTGTGTGTGTGTGTGTGTGTGTGTTAATGGAGAGTCATGTGTCATTCTCTGGAAAGAGGGGAAGAGAGGGACAGAGGAGGTGGGGGCAGAGGAAGACAGTGAAAGAGATTGTAAGACTGGGGGAGACTTTATAAGAGAAATTAAGAGAATATACAGTAATTGCAGTTTCTCCAGTTGCTTCTTTTGCCACCATATAATGAAAAAGGCAATCACAGACAACATCTGGGTAATGATTACTGATATCTGAGGATTGTGATGATATGCTTCTGCTCTTTGTACTGACTTCATGTCCTCCAGAAACCATATACGGAGGGAGGGCTTTTCTCTTTTTTCACTTTACTAGCGTGGGCTGAGGGAGTGAGCTCTAAAAATAAAACATATGTTCCTCCAGGTCTGTGGGAGCAGGGGCCCCCAGCGTATTGTTTTGGGATATGGGGGAGGACAGGGAGGATCTAGCCTGGAGAGAGAGATACTGCAGAGTGGATACAGACAAGAGGCAGAGCAGAGGGGGGGGGCCAGTGCTGCTGCTGTACTTACAAGAAAAGGGTTGAGGAAACATTCTGGCTTGCATGCGAGTATGTGCAAACTAGGAAAGGAAACTGATCTAAAGTAATTTCTGTTCTCTCTTCTTTCCTGTAATCGCTGGGGTGGGATGTGTGTGTTTTGTGTGTGTGTGTGTGTATGTTACTTGAAAAGTGGTTGCCTGAGACGGGGTGAGGGGTGGTCAGGATAAAAATGCTGAATACACCCCAGCTGAAAAGGTGCATCCATGAGCCTTTTTATTGATTCACAAAGCCCTCGGGGGAACCAGTGGGGACAAGGGTTAAAAGTATCTGAAGGGGCAGTGTACTCAGTGTGCACACTGAAACTTATAGTGTGTGTGTAAGTGTGTATGTGTGTGTGTGTGTTTGTGTGTGTGTGTGTGTGTGTGTGTGTATTTGGTGGGAGAACTGACTTCAAGCCAAAGTGAGTGATGGACTAATGGCTAAGAGCTCTTATTGGTGAGGAATGAGTTAAAGCCAGCTGACTGAGATGTGTGTGTGTGTGTGTGTGTGTGTGTGGTGTTGGTGTTGTGTGTGTGTGTGTGTGTGGTGTGTGTGTGTGTGTGTGTGTGTGCGTGTGTGTGTGTGTGGAGTGGGGGGGTGGTGGTGGAGGGCTGGGGGGGGGGGGGTGCGCAGAGCAGGGGAAATGAAGGGATATTAAGGGAGAAATAAGCATGAGCGCCGAAGGGGCTGGATATATCACGTGTCTGGATTTAGCACCAGTCCTCCTACCTCCTACTGCTGTATCTTTGTAGACTGTTCAGCAAAGTGGAAGAGGAAAGAGTGGGGGAGGAGTGTGTGCGTGCTCACATCTGTGTGTATGTGCAAGAAAGGCCAGAGAAAGAGAGTTAAGTGAGAGAAAGAATAAGAGATAAAGACATAAAGAGAGAGCGTAACAGAGCTGTAACCAGATACGTAGGGTAACTAATGATATCATGACACAATGATGATGATGAAATTGATCTGTCCGTCAAATAAAGTCAAACAGTTGCTCTGACGTTCTCTCTCAGCTACTGACAACGGCCCTAAACTTGACAGGCAGAAGTAAGCAAAGTATACTAAATAATACTGAAAAAGTCAACTATGCTAATATCATAGCACACTCGCAGCAGTGAGGACCCATTAGAACATAATGTAAATATTTAAAGTAATACATATGGTGGAAAGTAACTAATTACTTACTAACTAACTACTAGTAATGACATTACCTCTAATATTTTGAGGACATTTTGATAATAGTTGATATTTGATGACATTTCTGTAAGTAAAATTTTGATGCAGGGCCTTTACATGTAACTGGGTATTTACTTAAGTAAATGAATAGTACTTCATCTGTCAATGATTATACCATAACAGACTGATTTAAAACACCATCAAGTGCAGTAATGTAACTTCGAACTGAATTTTAAGTTTTTGAGAGGCTTATAATTTCATAAAATGAATGGATGAATTACACTTATGGGCTTTTCAGACATCTGTAAAAACATGTCCGTTTAAATTATACACATGGCAGGAGATTTAAAACACCAAGTATAATTTAAACCTTTACACTTGCTGCTGAACACAACACATGTACCTGTGTGCTGTGGTGGAAACTGACTAAGTACATTTATATTTCTATTCCACTACGTTTATTTGCTAACTTTAGTTGCAAGTGAAACTTTGACACATAATGAGTTTATTAAATACGTAAAGGATCTAAATACTTGCTCCACCACTGCCTGTATAAATACTACATGATTAAAAAGGAAACCCTTGCTGATGAGCACTACACGCAGTATATGAGGGGTATTACTGGGGCATCATGGTGATTTGGATGATTTGATTACTATCATGTACCACAGGGCATGTGATGCTCTGTCAGTGTGGAGGGGCGTGTGTTATGGGCGTCCCCATTCCGGGGAGTGTCTGTGTTCAGCCAATCACATTTTAGTCGTGAGGTTTGTGGGCGTGGGCTACCCCCTCCTCCCTCCCTCCCTCCCTCCCACACACTACCCTGACCCAGCTGCAGCACGCTTTTGTTCAAACTCAGAAGTCAGACAGTCAGTCCCGTACAGAGGTGCGCTCTTACGTTACTTTAACAGATGTTCATAAAAGGCTGATAGCAACAGTATGGCTCTTGTCAAACACACTCAACTCGATGTACTTTTAACCTTTACTTCACAGTTTTGGATGCTAAGTTAGTTTTTTTTTTTTTTTTTTTTTTGTACTTCGGTTGTGTGAAGTTTTTCAAATAGGGACAGCAAGGTGTCGCGAGCGAAGCAACTGGAGACCTGGAAGAAGAAGAAGAGAAGGGGGGGGAGGATTTTCTTTGAAACACTTCTTCTGGTGGCTGTGTTTGTGTACGACCGCTGCCATGTACAGCTTCTAGACATGTTCCATGCTCTTTGACAGACAGGAGAGAGTGAGCTTATGCTACCCTTCATCCTCCTCGCTGGATAATCTATGGAGAGGGTGTCCTGTTCTCTCTCACGCAGCTCTTGGAGTTACTTGCGGCTGAGACTACACCGTGAGCTTTGAACTGAATCGACCTGGATAGTAGAAAACGACTCACTTAACCTCATTTGAATGCCTTTGCAAGGAGTTTGCTGGTTTCTGTGCTGCAGGCAGGGCTTCAGTTTGCTCGGACGGGACTATGGGGAGAAAGAGGAGGAAGAGTCTTTTGAATTGCGCAACAAGGAGGACTTGACTCCCAATGGACGGGTAAAAAAACTCTCCACCTGCACTACACAGCAACTTCCCTGCATGCACTCAGTTCACAACATACATTTGTTGAAGATGTACATCAGAAAATGTCAAGTAGTGACTGTGAAAAAAACCGTCTTACACAATGTACCTTGAACATTTCATAAAACAGGGTCAGCTCCAGGAGCATAATTTCAGTTTTGTGCAAACAGATATGGCTGCAGGTCTTGATAGGGAAATGATAACTTTTGAAAAGTAAATTTGGATTGGAACTTCAAGGCACGATAAGAAATGCAGCTTGTGCTCACTGGATTGCCCATATTTTGAAGTAACAAGCCACAGAGTTCACATGTTATCTGTTAACCTTGTTATCTGTGGGAAGCATCAGTTTGTTCATTGCAAGCCTCTGTCACTGATGCAGGACACTGAATTTGCTGCTGCTGCAGCCCAGTTTTGACGTTTAGGTTTGCATGGTCTTTGGAGGCTTGGGCAACATTGAGCAATCACGTACACACACCCACACACTCATTGACATAATGCATTCCCCAGACCCTTAACCCTAACCTTAATCATCACAACTAAATGCTAAAACCTAAACATAACTCTAACCTTAACCCTCAAACGGCCCTTTTAAGTTGTTAGGACTGGCCATAATGTCCTCACAATGAAGGTTTCCAACAAAAAAATTGTCCACACAACCATAGAAATACATATACACACACATGCACATACACACACTGTGATGCAAGCTGTAAAACCCAGTGTGTTGAACTGATCCTGTGTGTTTGGCCTCTGTCCGCTCAATTGCAAATAAGACTGCAGCCTTGTCTTCTCTGTAATGTTAGTCATCTGATCAGGCACAGAGAGTTCAGCATTGTCCATCCACTTGTGAGGGGGCATTGTTGCCTTGAATTGAGGTAGCCTCTTTCTGTATGACCCAACGTACAGCTCCTCATGTACAGTCTCTTAGAAAAATGTACCCTCAAATATGAGACTCCTGTTGTTTTTTAAGGAGAATTTTCTCATAGTTTTTGACTCTAGAGTCATTAAAACCTGTCTTGGCCTCTGTATGCTGTCATGGCTTACACTAACAGCATGACCTCCCAAGTTAAATACCACCAAAGCTACGACTTGCATATCCTGCTTATCTATTTATTGCCCCTTTTGTCTGGTTGCAGCCAACCAGTGCACCACCACAGCGATTTGCATGAAAACGTTGGGAACAGTTAAGTTTTACACAGTTACACGGTTATTGCCTCAACAGAAATCTTAACAGTACCAGCAGCAGCCAGATAAGAGCAACATCTGTTGCTCCAGGGTATCCAGAGAGGTGTTGGTGTGTAGCACTCCTCTTCTTGGCAAACATCCCCATCTTAGTCATAATGTACCATCTGCCTGGCCATTGGTGGTCAGAGGAACCCAACTGTGCTCCATCCGCAATCAATACAAGATCATAGTAACATGTCCCAATGGAGAGGCCTGGTGGCCTTTTAGAGAGAGGCACAGGGATCTCTTTTCCTGTAACTTTCCCCGGTTCTCTCATTAAAATGAAACCTGCACAGAATTCTGTTCCTCTGGGTGGATTCAATTTAACGTTGGTTTATTGAATTTTAGGTGTGTTGTTTGGAGGAGAGCATGCTCTATGAGATGACCTCAAGTGACGGATTGTATTCTGGCCATGCTCTCTGAAAGATAAATTGCATATAGGATGATCAGCATTGCCAGATTTCACTGATTAAATCTGTACTCCTATCAAAGCCAAGAGCCCACCCAACTGTCATCAAAGTGGCCTAGTGGCAGTTTTCTTTTACATTTAACAGTTTAAGTCTTCAGTTGTGTGTGCAGATGTTTGACCAAAGAGTAATTGGGATAGGAGAAATATTTCTCACCTAGTTGTAATGAATGGAAATGACATTTAGTTTTTGTTGGTCGTCAGCTACCAGTCATTGCATGTTGAGCCAAGCCTACTGAACTCCGTGCTGTCTCAATCGTATTAATCAGAGAAGAGGAAGTGGTGATTTATTGGAATGTAGCCGAACTATTCATCCATGGAAACTTCCCAAATGGCACAAACATTATCACACAAGAATAACTCTTAAAAGAAAGCTGCTTTTATTATGTTTTAGTGTAAGCTTGTATGTATGGCTGTGGAAAACTGACTACTGTGAAGCTCATAATGCTTCTTTGTCTCTAGAGCTGCTCTCTCTCTCTCCCCTATACTGGTGTTACATCATTGATTAGAGTCTTGGTTCTATTAATTTTGTGCTCGTAAATATTCATAAATATGAATCAACTTGTCCTGAACCATAAAAATAATGATCTTCTTTTAATCTGAGTGATAATTTCTTTTTGAGATGCAGTTTGTCTTAATCATTCATGTGGTCAGCCCTGTTCAGTTTATCATATTAGTTCTAAACAGGAGGAACCACTTTATTGACTGATGTCACTGACAGTGTTTTACCAAATAACCAAAGGCAGCAAACTGCCTTTTGGCTACTTTCTTTTGTCATAAAAAAATCCCCCCAGTTGTTCTGAAGTTATTGATTATTGATTCCCTGATGCTTCCAAGTAATCAGTCCACTTCCACAAATTCTGTTTCCACTTGATCTGTGTCACTGGTTTATGCTGGGTATTGTAACTCTGTGTCAATAGTTCACACTGAGGCAATAATTAAGACACACAGCTGAGCTAAACCAATATCATCAGCTGAACCACTCTTATCCAGCGCAGTTTGTTATGCCCCTCCCCTCAGAATATACAGATCTAGCAGATACTGTTTGGTTTTGCATGGTATCAGTGGAGGGGATGGGGTAGAGGGTTGAAGATCTACAATCAGTATACAATCAGCTCCTTTCCACCACCGCAAAATTATCTGCTAGTTCTGGGCTGGTGCTATGGCCGGTTCACAGTTGGTTTAACTTGCAAACCCCGGCTAGAGAGCCACCATAGAGCCACGTCATTACAGTGCTGTATATGTCTGTATACGTTTCTGCTTTTCTAGCAACTCTAGTGCCAAGCACAACAACAACAATGGCAGACTACATAGTCTTTTACAAGTGTTGCTCCTGACTTTGGCAGCCTACATTGGCATCCAAACATTTAGATGTTGATTTTGAAGATTTCCAATTTAAAAAAAAAAAAAAAAGTCAGTCACAAAGTTTTAGTTCCTCTTGTTGGTCATGATAATCCTGCCTCCATTGTTCCTGGCCAAGAGCCGGTTCTTTGGCAGTTCAAGATTAGGCACCGGCTCCAAAACGGTCGTCAAACTGTCTTGGTGGAAAAGGGGTAAATGATTCCCAGGGAAAGCCCCTCAGGGCTCCGTTCCATCATTTACCCAGAGAGCTCCATTTCATCCAGAGCTTGACAAGCCACATTTTCAGGCAGCAGGTCAGACCTCCCGGGGTGTATGTGTGTGTGTCTTTTGGGCTTTGTAATGCTGAAATACTCCATTTAGTAGGACTCTGTCCAGCTCCTGCCAGGGATGACCACAGCAACCCACAGGTCTGGTGGAGTCTCCCTCGCTTAAGACATCCAAAACCTTCACCGCAATCTCCAGAGTTGTTTTACAACATGCTGCCAGAGGATGCCACGATGTGTAGCATCCACAGCACCAAAGCCATAGGCAACACACTGTTTCTTGCCAGGACTGTTCTCACTGAGGTTGGAATCATGAGTCAGTGCTGACGCTTGTGTAGGCTTGGCCCTTGAGAGCACAAGGCCATGTCGGAACCCTTTCCCTGCATGTTTACAGTCCTCATTCAATGAAACTGCTCTCCAACAGCTGCCCAAACAGTCACACTGAGCTGAATGCCTCCAGTGTTGGGACAGCAAGGCACTAATTTTAGGACAGGACATCCGTCATTCTCTCTTCTTTCCATTTTTCCACTGAAACTTTATTCAACTTTTATGCAACGTGAAGTCACGTTTACCAATAAACTCCCACCACAGAGTGTTTCGCCCTGCACAGTTGTAAGTGTTGGATCGTGGCACTGCAGTGCATCCTGTTACTCGGAACAAACAGGCACAGTCCTGCTATGCTGAGAGCCGGTCCCATTAACTGTCACTGCTGCCCTCTGTCTTCAGAGGTGTCACGGTACGCTGGTTTATATTTGGTTTCCGTTGCGTCTCTGCCTCACCACCTCCAGGCCACACATCTGGTCTTCAGGCCGACACTGGCTGAGCCCAAGCATTTCCTCCTGGTTACTCAGCCTCCCAGGAGAGCTGAAGGGAGAGCGAGAGGGAGAGAGAGAGAGAGAGAGAGAGAGAGAGAGAGAGAGTAGACGGAGGGAAAGCGAGAGCGGAAGTCAGCCACGGAACGAACACATCACGGCATCTTTCCCTCTTTCCCTCCATGCTCTGTTCTAGTCTGGAGTGATTCATCCCCTGCCCGTCCAAAGGGAGAGCTTTTGCCAGGGCTCTGCATCGCACGCTATCCTTGTTCCTCATCCCACAGCCCATTAACTCCATTGGAAAGCTATTTTTCTGTAAATCGTCACGTATTGTGTAGAATTACCCCAAAATATTCTAACTTTATCAACCTGACCCATTAGTTTATTGATCCTCTGATTAATTTACATCATGGATTTACAGCTTTTGCACTCGTTGATGTGATTAGTATTGATTTGTCGTTTCCAGTTATGGCTGTCTGTCTGAATTTTCTTCTCTGCGCCTGTTGCCTTGGCTGAATCATTTATGGTTAACAGGCAGGGGTAGGGAATTACCGTACACACTCCCATTCACAAGTCGCTTTCTGCTGCTGTTCACTTATTCTTCCCCATCTGGTTTGACATTTACAGCACCTCTCCCTGAGTTAAACATTAATCATATCTCATTATCCCAACCCTCATCTTTTCCTCATTTGCTTCAGAGTCCATCTGCCTTGTAAATATAACACAGATTCCATACCAGCCTATAAATTTGTAGTTCATGTTTTCTTTGTTAGTTTTGAGCCATCCAAAAAGAAGCAGTAGACTGTTTTTACAGAGCATGGGCTATACTTAGGCTAGTTTGCCCAGTAGTAAAGTGTGGTGTGTGAACTGTTAGGGGCCCAGAGCTGACCTGGATAGTGTTTCAGGTAGGCCAACACCCCCCGAGCTGGGCCGGGGCAGCCACAGGAGCTGGCTCAAGGCTGTGGCTCTCAGAGACAACAAGTCAAGCCACGGGGGACACACAGTGGTGCCTCGCACACAAGGGAATAAATCCAGATTGCACACAGGCAGAGCTCTGATGTCTGATGGGGTTTCCAAAGTCAGGTTGGGAATCTAAAGGCTGGATCTCTGTGAAAAGGGAAACATCCTCTCCCATCTTCTGCTTAATGGGGGAGTCCTGGAATGAAAAGTTCATTGTTCCTCCCATGAAATTTGATTTTACGTGTCTGCCAGTGGCAACCCCATTTGTAGTCAGTAGAATCACTTACTCCAATTTCCATACAAAACCAAGAGGGAATGTGATTTGATATGAGTAGCTGGCTAGCAGTCAGGATAACATATCTAACTTTTATTATGACTGTGCTCATCAGATAATCATCATCAGTACACCTACATTTCTTATTTTTATACGATGCCTCCCAGAGGTCTCTTTGTCTTTCTCTTTTGCTTTCATCAACCTAACAGCAATTTACCCTCAACTTGTCTCTTTGAGCATGTGGATATAAAAGCCGTTTCAAGTGCAATCTCAAAGACCAGGTTTATTTTTAGGTTAACAATCTTCGCAGAGAAATTGACTCGATCTAAATAAAAGCATTTTGGGGTTGCACGCAGCTACAGGACAAAAGATTCTTCTGTTCCCTACTCCTATATTAAATGAGCCTGTTTTGCATGCCATATTTCTCCCCACCAGCTCACCCCTCGCAAGTGAGAGCCAAGCATTACAGGAACAGAGCAGCTATGTGCTGAGACTGCCAGGAACGGCTGCATGCTCGACTGTAACATGGCCACTGCAGGCAAACTGCTCTCCAACCTGTGGAATAGTTCTAAGGACAGGCTACTGTTTGTGTTGCATTATCATCTATTTACCCGATTCTCTCTCTTCTGTTGACAGAGTCCAGCTGAGGTGACTGTTTCTCAACCAACTCGCACAGCCAATGGAACAAATGGGTAAGGAGAGAGAGAGAGACAGATTTTTTTTTTCCCACAATTTTTAGGAAGTAATAGTTCCTTCTTTTACTTATATACTTCCTCTGAGTGCTGGGGATATCTGTATTTATCCTCAGGCAGGCACATGTGTGAGTACAGGCCAATCACTTGATTTTTCACTTCCTCTGCAGTGTATGGTATCTCATGGGGCTCTCCTCATGTGCCTAGCCATGACACATGTGCCTAACCTCATAGCCACACATATGCTCACATGTGTATGTGTGCAAGTGGCACAGACTCACATTGTATATTGAGGATGTGGTGGTGGTACTTTAACTGCTCATGGATAATGCCACTGTCAGTTTTCACTCGTTAACCTGTTGAATTTGTAGGTTTTTCCATTCAAAGGTCAGCTAGGCTGCTGTTAGGGGTTGCATTGGTCAATAATGTCAATCTTCAACCTAGATGTTTCTGACCGATTACAGCTGTAACTTCCAGTTCACTCTGTGCAGCTTCCACATCAACAAATCCAATCACTTTGTTAGCTTGAAGGTTGTCCATTCAAACTGCCAGTTAAAAGCAACCACTATGCAACTCCCGAATAATGAAATGGTCATGTGGTTTACGAGTGAACGCTAGTGACAATGAAAAGGAGTGATTCATGGAGATCTTGATCCAGACTATTAGTGCAGGGCTGTGATCTCAGACAGCGATGTAGCCAGGCTCTGCCCCGCTCTATCTCTGGCATCGTGCCCTTATCATATCCCCCCACCCCCACCCACGCCTCTTCCCTTATCCACAATCTCCACTGTACATCTGCCGACTCACAGTCAATGCGTCACAAAGCTCAACTTGTCGGACAATCACACACCACGAATGAATAGAAGAGGGTCCGCAGCAACTCTCAACAAGAAGAGATCTGCCTTAGGAAGTAGGCTGGTGAGCTGAAGTTGAAGCATTTTTGCTGCAGTCATTCAGGACATGCTGTCTCTTGAGGGTTCAGGGAAAGCAGGAAAGGAAGACTTGGGGAGGGAGGTAGGCTAACTGGACTGGGTGACTCACTCCTACCTCAGCAGCACTCCCAGAAGAGGTGTGGCTCGGATGTGTGTGTGCTTGTGTACGTGTGTGTCACTTCTACAATACAGTGGAGGTGGCCCCGGGCCACATGGCATAATTAACTACTGGTTTTGAAGGAGTGTGTTAAAAGCCTGGCTGTAATCATTGCACTCAGTGCAGAGATTAGAGAGCGCAGTGCTTCGTGATTACCTGGCCAATGAGTGGACACACCCAGAAGTTCAGCTGTATGGAGGGAAAGCCAAGCCAGGCTCTGATAAGTCATGGCATTGTGATATATCAAACGGTTCCACATCAATTTATCTGTAGTCATACAACAGGGCGGTTTACTGGTTTACTTTGTACTTTTATCGACCTATTGAATTGAACTTTCCCAAAGGAGATATCAATCTCAACTACTAGTTTGATAGTGGCCCAAATCTGATGGTGATGAATTAGGGGGATTTATGTTTGTTTTACTAGACTGAGGTTAATATGGTAATGCTCAGATAATTCATCATGCTGCAGGCCTGATGTGGTTAGGGAGGGAGATAGGCCCATCTCCGTCAAAACATAGTGGGGTGGGGGTGGGGGTGGGGGGTGTCAGTCAGTCATATGTGATGAAAACATCAAGAGACTGGACAGTGTACCACCGTACTTTAACTTTCATATGTAATCTGGCATGGTTCTGTATTAGTGTATCTGTTCTGTATTAGTTCAGTATTATATCAAACATACGACAATACAGTTGATTATTATGTTTTTACCTGGGTCAGAAAAGGAAAAAAAGTGTTTTAAGTTGACTCATGTGTAACTCCAGAGTGAGAATGATCTGTAGAGGCTGTGAACAAAGTTTCCAAGTGATAATATTATTTGGTCTATGTCAGAGGTCCTGTAATACATTTGTTGTGTGCTTGCACTAACCTCTCTCAGGTGTGTGTGTGTGTGTGTGTGTGTGTGTGTGTGTGTGTGTGTGTGTGTGTGTGTGTGTGTGTGTGTGTGTGTGTGTGTGTGATGGACATATTGCTGCAGGCAGACTGCATAAGGTCTGCCCTGTCTGTCTCTCAGTCAGCACAAAGTGCCAAGAAGCTTGCTCCCTCCTGCTGTGTTCACACTCAAATCTGTCTTACATCATCTCTATTTTTTCATCCCCACTTTCCTCACTGCTTCTCATAGCCAGGGCAGGGCAGGGTACAAACTGTACCAGGAGGAAAGTGGACACTTGAGGACTTCTCTATCTCTCTTTCTCACCATTTGTTCCATCTGCTTTCTCATTAGCCCCCCTCCCCCTCTTCTTTGATGGCTTTTGACAGTCAAAATATAGACATATTTTGGTGTGGGCTGCCAGGCAGTAATGGCTGAAAGAGACCAGTGTTTGATGATGTATTTCATGTGTGTGAAGATATGCATGTGCATAAAGAGAGAGAGAGAGAGAGAGAGAGAGAGAGTATGTATGAAACATGTGAGTGTTTGCGTGAAAAGCTTAGAAGTGGGCCCCTGGTAATTGCCTGTCTGAGCGTCTGTCAGCGTGACTGTCAACCATCCAACCATCACAAACTGACCCCGTTTACAACTACAACAAATATAGAAAGTTGTCATTCACATCACTAAGTTTCACTATCAGAGTGACGTCATTCAGACTTTTTTAAAACCTCTCTATCATAAGATTTCTCGCTGATCGACACTCTCCTTCAGTCACAAACTGTAGACTTCCTGTCTCTCACACGCGCGCACACACACACACACACACACACACACACACACACACACACACACACATATACACACCCACCTCCTCCTTTCTCAAAACATGACTTTTTTCCTCTCCTTTCTGCCTAGTCCAGAGTTTCTTGGCAGTGGTCTTGAGTAAACAGCGTATTTTTAGCTGGGAGGTCATATAGGCCCAGTCTTAATCACCACATTCCCATTTTCCCACCAGCCCAGCTTCAGCCAGAGGCCCATGCAGCCAGCCCATGCACTGTGGGGGAGGGGATAGAGAGAGAGAGAGAGAGAGAGAAAGAGAGAGAAAGAGAGAGAGAGATGGATTTCTACAAAGAGAAACTGTGATTATTTATTGCTGCAGTATGACCCACTGTATTATTAATGAAAGCTGTTTCAGATAGTGTTATTTATCCTCGGTGCTTGCTCAGATGTCTAATAAAATCTGTGTGTCATGATGTACGGCCATCGTTTGTGTACAGTGTATGAGCCTGGACATCAACGTAGGCATGCAGCTGGTTTGAGTTCATTTGTTTGAACGCCTTTTTGGATCCATCTGGGCTTTTCATCCATCAGATAGAGCTCCAAGTATTTCTGTGACACATCTGTGCAAGGGTCATTTTTTTTTTTTTTTTTTTTGCAAATGTGCATGTTCTTGTGGTCACAAGGACCCGCTTTGTATGCTGGGACATGTCTCCGCTGTTTTCCACTGCGGTCATCGCAGCCCGAGAGCAAGGACACTACTTTCTAACTTTAATTAGCGTCTCAGCGTTTTGATTAGACCCTGGACTGAAATCAATTACTCATCGCTCCAGCAGCTACCAGCGGACAGACGCTCACAGACTAATCAGATTATTGTGCTGCTCATACTTGGTGGATTTAAGTGTGTCACTCTGAAAGGCCTGCTGATAATATTAGCTGTGATGGCCTTATTTAAGTATTTAGCTTGAGTCAGTCTCTAGCTTTATTGAGTAGATGATGCTGAATTCACAGTGTCTTTTAAATGGGAAGAACAGGTAGAGCCTCTCCTTATTCCGACTTAGGTGTGTTTATGCATGGTTACCCCGACTGCTAGCCTTGTAGTCAAACTGTTTAAATAGCCTAAATAAGCTACCTTTCCTTTATTGTCCATTTGAATTGGAGCAAATACAAACAAACTGTAAATTAGCTGAATTAGTGCTTATATCATTTTCAACTTTTCTAGTTCTTTTTGTCAAGTTCGAGATGTTTTTGCTTTCAGGAATTCCCAGTATCTGTCAAACTACAACTCTCACAGCTCAGCCTTAACATTTCGATTGTAAATTGTAATTAAGATTAATTAGAGCTCTCCTCAGGACCGCGTTCGCATGTACACACTGTAGTCGATATACCGCTCCTTGACTCTCCTGTTAGTTTTGTTTCACCCGTTCGGGCAGGACATCGTGCTCGTTTCTCTCTAGTACATGGAATTCAGTGACTTCGTGTAATGTAAAGCTCCACCCAACTAAACCAGACGTTAGCCAAATGTAACTGAAGACACGTGTGTGTGGGTGTTAAGGAGCTTTAATAATGCAGTAGTGTGTTTTACGGTGTCATTAGTGTTTTTAAACTGTATTATGCTGTATTATGTTAATGTTGTGGGTTTTAAGTCATGTAAGAGAGTGATTTCGGTGAATTGAAATATTGCAAAAGAAAAAAAAAGGATGTCCTGTTTCTAAATTGATGAGAAGGAGCCAGTCCACCAACACCTGAAGCTACTGTATACTGTGGCCTGGTGTTATCTGATTGTGCTAGATACTCAGTGTGTCCTTTTTAAATTTCCTTTTTTTTCTCCCACTTTCTTTTGCTATGTTGCTCTCATCTTTTTTCCCCCATTTAGTCAGATACTTGGTTGCTTGTAACCCCACTATCTTCTGAACTGAATATTAGAGCCAAAACGATTCGTCAATAATCAAGTAACTGGAAAAAAAAGGCAAATGTTGCAAGTGAACTGAACATCTTTCAAAGATATTACTTTGGGCTGTGGGGAATATTAACAGACATTTTTCACTTTTTTTTTTTACATTTTATAAACTGAATAATTAATCAAGAAAATAGACAGCAGATTAATCTATAATTAAAAGCATAAATAATCATTTGTTGCAACCCTAGTCTATACTGGCTGCCTGTTGATTAGGTTTGACGGAGATGTGAAATTGAGAAACTATGGCACACACAAGCCAGTAGTGGTGACAGTTAGTGATGAATGGATGAGTATTGAACAGCTCATTCTCACTCTGCCATATATCACACAGCATTCACACAGTCTCTCAGTTCTATAGAGGACATTTACACATACGCAATTTCATAGGATGTTAATAACGTGCATTAGATTTATTACAGAGGTTGTGTAGGGAAATATTTGTTCCTCTCCCAAATCATGTTTCTTCTTTTCTGACTTCCCCTCTCTGACTGTGTGACAAAGCCAGCGATTTTTTTTTTTATTTCCTGGTCTAAGCTGATCTTTGCAATCAGATATTTTCCTTTTAACTTCCATAAACAAATAATTGTGAGGGTGCCCCCCCCCCCATGCTGCACTGGTCCCTTTTGAGAGAAAAAGTACCAACTTTTTTGTGTTTCCATGACAAGAATGAGTGTGTTGTCAGTGGTTTCATGTCAAACAACAAACCTGAACTACAGAGCAGAGGAAATACCTTGATTTTCAACACATTTCAAGCTTCAGCATTGAGTAGTGTGACTTTGCAATGAGGCTCCTCCCCTGCAGTAGCTGATGTTTAGTCGTCAGGGGAAGGCAAGAGAGAGAGAGAGAGGTGCTCACTGTAGATGTGCTCTCGCTCTATTCTCCATGCTGCTTAATCCCCATGTCAAATTGTTTCCTGCACTCCACAGGAAGTTGCCCACTGAAGGCCCCACTGTCACAGCCTCTGGTGGGGCTTCTGGGAATGTGTTGGGAGGGAATGGTGGGGTGGGGTAGGACTGCTGGACAGCTGTGGAGATCCAAAGCCCTCACATCAGCAGTTGCCCCAAGCTGTATGACATGCTCTTTTCTTCATCTGTTCGCCATGTTTTATGTTGTTATTGATTTGAATTGTGTCATGCAGATATTAACTGACAAACATACTTAGAAGACAGGAAACAAGGTTTCTCTGTCCTTCTTCCCTCTGCTCTAAGCTCAGTGGATGTGTGATTGTCTTGGGTACACATACACTAAAATGAAAGTTGGAATATATTGGGGATGTACAGAAGAAAGAATGACTATCTGCTACCTGCTGAGTAATAACAGTATTGAACCATGATACCTTAATGAGTGTGTCTCGGTGCTGGAGGTGCACATAATATTTTGAACTGACAAAGTTGCACACTTTTTTAGAATCTATTTTCCATTACGTTTGTTTGAAACAAGCCACTCCTGTTAATAAGTTACAATTTTTGTTCAGTAACTACAGAGAAATAGGAATTGTGTGTGTGTTTGTGTGTGGTTTGTGTGATTGCGGTCATTAGATGTACTTCTTCTTTCTTCTTCTTTTTTTCCAGTCATTATTTAACATTTTTTGTATCATTAATAATGTCTCAGATAGAGGCTACAATATTTTTAAACAGTGACTGTATCATGTACTCTTTATAACAACATGTGAATATGTTTTGTTATAATGACGTATCAACTAATCTCCTTATAATGGCACACATTTCCTATAATTTGGTAAATTGTGATAATGAGAAAAAGTGTTAGAGCATGAAAGAAAGGAAGAACAAACAATTCTCATTACAACAACAACAGTAGTGTGTTAGACGGCTTTACCTCACTGCTGTGGTCTCCAGCCAGTCTCAGAGGAAGATTTTGGACATTAGCCTGGCTTTTTGAACACAATGGACATATTGACCCTGCCAACATTTAAATTGAAGGTCAGGCTAGTTTGTGTTGCTAAAGGTCAAGCCTTGGGCCTGTGCTTCTGTCCTCCTGTAACCCCTGCTCCCTTGCTACATGACCTGAAAGGGACGTTGAATTTGACTCATAAAGTTTTTCAAGTTAAAGATGGAGTTTGTCCGGTTAGTGGCAGAAAATCAGAATTCTGTCTGTGCTAGCAAAGTGTAGACAGGAGAACTAAGTTTGATTTTGAACAAGAATATTCTTCCAAGCTGGATGGCCGTGTGTACCACATAACGCACCTCTTTTATTTCTACAAAACTCCTGTTGGTTACTCAAGTTGTTTTTCAGTTCAGGCTTGACCTACTTATAATATCAGTGTTTACTAAATTGAGATTTAGAAACTAAGTGTAAAGATTGTTTGTTTTTTTTTATTGCTCTTGGCATTTTGGATCCAAGCCAGTCACAAACAATAGCTTCCTATAATCCAAGACATTGAACTTAATCATGCCTGCTGTGTAAACAAGGCTATATTCTCCAGTAGAGGCGTAGTTTTTCTATAATTCTAATCCTTGTCCCATTTGAGCTACATATAGACTAACTGCCTGTCTGCGTGCGTGTCTCTGTTATGTAGCAGGGGTTATTAACAACCTCAAATAAGAGACGTCCTCACATGTCTGTGTTTATTTTAATGCCTTTAAGTGGGGTCTGTGGATGCAGCAACCGTCAGAGGTCCCCGTAGGCTGCTGCTGTAGCAGGCGAGCAGGCTTAGTCAAACAGCCTGAGCGAGTATAATGTGACGGGATCCTGACTCTCTCCTTCTCACTTCAGCTTTCTGGTGATGCCCTGAATGAGTTTATATAGGAGGGAACAAATTGTTTGTATAAGTGACTGAGAAGTAAGGTCACATGGGTCAGCTTGATAGACCATGGTATAGACAGGATCAGGTCAGTGCACACAGAGAGAAAGGAAATGGCCTTTGCAGTCATGTAAGCTGAGTCAAAGCAGATAAGGCTATATTCAGACTCATTGATTATTGCTGCCTTCCGTGAGGAGGAACCTTCCAGGAATTATCAGATCAATAACGGCATAAATCAGCCGGCGAATGAGTAGGTAAATAGAGGCCATATAACCCTGGGAAAGAGGGAGGGCGGGGGGGGGGCTTGATTCATTTCCTGAGGCATGATCCCAGTAGGAGGATGACAGGAAGGAAGGAGGGGTTTGTCACTTGTACCTCACATGCTAGTTAGACCCAGGAAATAGAGAAAATAAACAAGTAATTAGATAAATAAATGCGGAGAGATAAAACCCCTAAACAACCTTATAAGCTGGAAATGGACCTTGGCCTGAGATAACAAAGTCTGACTTTGTCCACAACACTGGCTGACCAGATGCCATGTGTTGAAGTGGCTGCAAATTGTGATCGTGAGACATTGGAGAGGGAAAGGAAGAACAGCGGTTTCAGCAGATTTACAGATGTTTTTGATGTTCATGGTTTTTTTAAACCATCCAGGGCTGTGACCTGTTGAACCCTCTGCCTTCCTCTGACCGGCGCGAGCTGGCTGGCTGGGAGTCAGGCCGGCGTCGCTCTGTCACGTTTATTTTCAGTCGCCCGCTCGGCTCGCCGGGCCAAAGTGATAAAAGAGAGACGGGCTGTCCACAGTGGCGTGGTATGTATCAGTGTGTGTTTGTGCTCTTGCGTGCTGCTAGGGAGGGAAAGTGGGGAGAATGCTGGAGGACAGATATTCGTGGCACTTCTTCCAGTCCCCCCTGTGTAACCCCCCCCCCCCCCTCCACCTAAGAGTATCTGAGACACTTGTAGTTGGCACAGAGTCACATTGGAGGGTCACAGGAGGGAGGAGGAGGAGGAGGAGGAGGAGGAAGGGAGGGGGGAGTCACAGCCAACTGTATGTCTCTGGGCCAATTATCTATCCAATGGGGGGAGTAGTCAGGGGAAGACTTGAAGTGAAAGGGAAGCAGAAGTTATTTACATTCTCTTACGGCTCTTCCACACAGGCACACTGTCTCTGAGGTGTCTGAAGAGATGAAGAGCCTGATCATCGAGAAGAATAAGATGGGCCTGGAGGAAGAGCCGGAACTGCTGGTCAAAGGTGAGTCTTAACACACCACATTTATGTCACCATTACTCTCTCCTGCTGTGATCAGCTGCGGTGAGGATAGTCATGCCGCGGAAACTAGAAGTCGATTATTTGATCTGTCGTTGGAAAATTGAAGGAACGTTTACTGGTTCCAACTTATCAAACAATAGAATAAACAAGGATTTGCTGCTCTTTTTGTTTTATGCGAATGTAAATTGAATACCATGCCCCCAGAGCAACCAACTGTTGCTCAGACAAAACATGCAACTTGAAGACATCACCTTGAGCTCTACTTAACAATCAACCTATTAATCAAGCAAAAAAAAAAATCTACAGCTGAATCAGTAATGAAAATAACCTTTAATCGCCAGCCCTGCTTTGTTCTTTGGTTGATAAATGAAGTCCTTGCAGGGCCAGGTTGCTGCTGTTCATCTCATTAAGTGTAGTATATATTTCATTGCCCTAATTGTCTCCTAATAAGTACTGTCACAGCTCCATGCTGTGCTGTCGCCCTGTAGCCAACCCCTCTCTGACCACATGTGGCCCACAGCTGCTCCTGCTCTCCTGCCGCCCTGTGTGTTCATGTAAGGATAGCTACTGGCATATCAGGAGCCCCGTCTTGCGTGTCTGATGCTTTTGAGGAATGATCTCATAGGATATTTCTGTGTGATTTTTCTTTTCTCTTTTTTTTTTTTTTTTTTTGCTTCTTGGCCTGCTACTGAAAGGGAGCAGTAAAATGCCAGCACTTGGATAAGTTACGTCCTGTTTGGAATGGCGGCAGTCAGATTGCCTAATTCTGACAGCAGTTACCATGCGCCCTCGGCTAGCGCCCCTCCCTTACTGCTGTCCCCTCTCTGTCTCGCTGTCGGCAGAGAAGTGTGTGGAGTCGCTTTCCCTCCAAAACAGGGGACAGCTACTTTCCTCGGGCCATTAATTACACTGTCACTTTGAATTTCAGCTTGTGCTCCACGCCTGCATCCTTTAACCGAACACACCATTACAGCCACCAACAACAGCAGGACACCTCAGGGCGTTAGATAATCCCTCTCATTTCTCTCTTTGTGCTGCAGAAGGATATGTTTCTAATGAAGAGTCCCTCCATTAGGGCCTTTCCTCTTGATCTTGTTCTGTATGTTTTTTATTTGTTTGTTGTATATTCTTTCAGCAGGATATCCTCAGGCTACATGGGGGTGAATACCGCCCCAGTATCTAAAATAGGCCACCAACATTGCTGATGAGGGATGAATTGTAAAACACATGCAGGGGCGACAGAAAGAGATGCTGACATTGGTTTATTGACATACCTTTGTTGATTTACAGTTCAAATGAACTGCTCCTCACATGATGCACAGCCTCTCATGCTCCAGTAAACTGCAGTTCAATCTGTCTGCCTCTGTTTGATCCAAGAGGGCAAAAAAAAAAAAGTTTAGTCCTATGTTGCTTGTGCATAATTATAAAGTTCAGGCCCTTACATTGCCGTGTACATGAACAGCCAGTTGACCTAATAATCTCTGGTCATCAGAGCAAGGTTAAAAAATAGCCTTTCAAACTGTTTTGACAAACTGTTATATGAAACCAAGTTTATGGCTTTTGGTTCTAGTGACCTCAGGGTTTAGTGTTTAAAGAGGAAAACATTTGCCTAAAGTGAAATAGCGCTTTCATTTTAGTGAAGATCCTAAACAGGTTTCTTGTGAAATACCAGCATGCAAAGGCCTGCAGAGTAAAATTTGAACTTTGAAGTGAGGTGTCCTTTTTATTTGCAATGCTCATATTTGGTTATTATTTTATTTTGTGAAAAAAGGAACAAACATTCAGCACTCAGAAAGTGACAGGAGCCTCGCTGTAAAAAAAAAATTGAAACGCACAGAGAGAGATTGTTTTCTCAATCTGTGTTTGAGGGGGCAGGGTGCTGGGGGGGGGGGCAGGGGTCACAAATGAAACAAATTAAGGGCGAGCCATGGCCCCCAGGGGAGACATTAGCAGGCCACAGAGATGGGATCCAGATGGAGGACCATGGGAGGTGTATACAGGGGGTCCCAGGGCTCTGGTGCTCCCTCTCTCTCTCTTTCTGTCTCTCCTTTTCTTTTTTATTTTTTATTTTGCCTTTTCTTATCGCCCTGTTTAAATTTCCGAAAGAGAGCAGCATCTGTGGGACGTCCCATGTCTGTGAGAGAGGCGTCAAGGTAGCGGGCATGCCCTTCTCTCCATGTCTCTCACCCAGTCAGCTTGTCTGCCTCCCCCCTGTCCCACATCCAGTCTGTCAGCAAGCTCAGGCTGACTTACCTCATAGTTTTTATTTATCCGTTTCACGTTGGGTTTTGATGCTGCCCCCCTCTGATGTGGTGTTAAGTACCTCCAGGGTTTTTACTTTGGGCTATATTGGGTGGGTTTATGGTGGGTTCAAACCTGGCACTTATATCATATAGAAGCATTCTCAGACGGGAAACATAGCCTGAGAGGCTGAGCCTTCACCCCCTCCTCTCTCTTTATTTTTACTCTGGAGTAGTAAGCGAAGCAGGAGAAGCTTTGCACCGCCTCGAAAACCACTTTGAGGCAAGGACGAAAACCAGTGGCGCAGGTGTACAGGTGGCACGCAGCTTGCTAACCACAGAGGAAGTTGTGACGCTGGTGTGGCGTCATTGCCATTTTCACACGGTAGGAAGTTGAAGGTACATTGCCTAATTGTTCCCTTTAAAACCACTCTGAAGTATGCATGCACACACCATATGCACTCGGATGCACAGCCACCCCACATGTGGCACACTGCCAGTGTATAACAGCGCCTTGCCACCTCTGATAGTCCCACCCAGCCTAGTATCGGTTCACAACCCTCTACCAGCCTCTCCCTCAGCCCTCTGGATGAACTCTGACCCCCTACCAGGACTCCTCAATCCTCCTCTGCCTGTTTCTCTCTAGGGAGCATCTGGACAGAGCTCTGCCAAGCTAGTTTATTTATCTACTCGAAGATTAAATATTTATTAGGAACAATTTGCACACATAGCTTAGGGGGGGAGAGGAGGTTCACTGCTGTTTTGGAACAGTGGATCTGGGCTGTTGCAGTCTGTCCAAACCCTCGGGACTTTGGGAACACAACAGTCTTGCATTGTAGAGCCAGGCCTGGCGAGATCAGCGGGCATGCCTATGTGCTGGCTGAAGGCAAGTCTGCTTTACTCTCTTTGTCTCCAGCTGTCATACTGTTCCAGTATCTCTCACTCTCGTTCTCTCTCCCTCCTTTTCTCACTCTGTCAACCTCTAAAGTGGTAATTATGTTGGCTGCATGCAGGCTTTAATGCCTATGCCATTAGCTGGCTGTATTTTTATCCCCTAGTATTTACCCCAACAAGGCAGTCACATACAGTCTGCTACAAACTTTATGGATAATTACATGCCTTGGGGATTATTCTTAGTGAAGACATGGTGTGGCAGCACTGGTTCAGCAGCTCTGTGACTAGCCCACCTACCAACCAGACCTTTCAAGGGAAATTCTTGTGTTGGTGTGTAGCTGCTGTGCACATAAGACTTTGAAAGTATTGGAAAGTGAAAACACTCTGTCCATATGATTCTCCAAGTAGGAGAAAACAAATGCTACAAATCGATATAACTTTGGTTTTATTTTGAAATAGGGGTAGAGATTATATGTCAAAGTAAAGTATTGGAAAATAAGGTTGGTTTTGTTATCAGTACCAAAACGGGGGTATGAGTATCAAAAAATGTTAAACAGTACTCAGCAGACTTACTGATGTGTGGTGCTAATACTGGAACGTAGAGCTGTGAGTCGAATTATCTGCCAATTATTTTTTAGGTGATTTTTTCTTTGGGTCTGTAACAGAAAACCGAATGAAAAATGTACGTCACAGTGTCCCCCAACCAACCAACAGGCCAAAGCCCAAAGATATTTGGTTTAACATAAAGTAAGACAAAAAACAGCAGGCATTTTTGCTTTAAAAACTTAATTGATAATAGTTGATAATTTTATGTTGATCAACTAATGAATGAATCAATTAATCGTTGCAGTTCTGCTGGCATGTACTACTTCAAGGTTGAGTAGTCATATGACACGTGTGTATATGTTATTTAAAGGATGGCTGTTGCGGGAGGTGCGAGGAAACTGGATTAAGCAGCGCCGGTACTGGTTTGTGCTGAGCCAGGACTCACTCGACTACTACAGCGGACCAGAGAAAGGATCCCGCAGACTGGGCACACTGGTCCTCACCAACCTCTGCTCTGTCATCTGGCCCGACAAGCAGACCTACAAGGAAACAGGTGAGCAACGCGCATACGTTTGTATGTAACAATACACAGACAGGCTGACGCGTAGCTGACTCATGCCCATTCCCAGTGTAGTGACCAGGCATTTTTTTTAAAAATTCCTAAAATGTTGTTTAGGGGTTTTTCACGTAATGTCATGTGGTTCTTTCCCATGAGAGCTGTAATTCTGAGTACATTTGGGAAGCCCCAGCTGTGTTTGGTCAAAAAAATGGTTCAAGGTTGGTCTAGAAACCTCACATTTGAGTAATCAGCGGGGGCATCTCCCTCCCATTTCTCGGATGAAAGAAACAAAAGAACATCAAAAAAGGAGAGTTGTTGCTGAATGGGAAGAGACACAGGGATGACGTGTCCTTTTTGAGTTACTGTATTATTCAAACATGACGCCCTCTGTCTAAGTCTTGCTGTCCATCAATGGAGGGGATTATGTCCTGCTGACTTCACCAAACCACTTAAAATCTCCAAACCAATGTACAAACCCAAATCCAAACATAGTTGTTACTAACTCAATATGCCATGGGACTTTTCTGGACAGAAGTGTGCTTTCAACAGCGGCTTTGTCACAAGCTCCATGGGCTGTTTCACTACTGAGTAGCTTTGTGTTCCTCCTAAGCCACTTCCCTTTACGGGTTATGTCTGTGGCATCATTGACCCTTTACTCCAGAGTTAATGTAAGGGCACCAAACAGGCTCAAAGTGGGCAATGGCAAATTGTAAAACCTCTCAATTTTGGGTTTGTATTTCACCACAAACCTAAACAAAGAAGGACGTGGTGCCAAGTCACGTAGCAGGAAAGCCTGATAACAGCCATGGGGCTGCAGGCTGCCTGGGGTATGTCTAATACTTCCTCTGGACAAGGAGGAAGCACGCCTTGCGCACTTTTATTACAGGTCGTCTGAGAGGAGAGTCACTGAGGGGATTAACACTTGTCTTCTACCTCATCTGTAGAATAGGTGTGGTCTGAGGTTCCTCTCAACCTGACCTTTGATCCTCAGTGAAACTGAGAGAGGAAGTCAGGGAGAGGGAGTCACGCCAGATATGCGGACTGTCCCGTGCCATGAACAATTTCACTGGTTTCTTCCTCATTTACTTAAATTACACTGTCAGCTTAAGTGCAGCAGTCATAGAAAATGCAATGTTTTTTTTCTGTGTTTCTTTCAGGCTACTGGAGCATCACGGTATATGGGCGGAAGCACTGCTACAGACTATACACCAAGCACTTCAATGAGGCTGTGCACTGGGCATGTGCCATCCAGAAAATAATTGATACCAAAGCACCAGTGGAAACGCCAACACAGCTCCTGATCCGAGACATCGAGGTAGGCCACTCAACACACAAACGTGCATATACACACACAGTTGCTGCCAAACTACCTGTGATAAGGGCCACCAAACACAAACAGACATCAGGCCACACATTATTTCCCCTCGGCTATGTTACCATGGAGACCACACCACCACATTGAGTCCAAAGTTTGCATTTCTCTTTTGAATGACCTCATCTTCTACTACACTGGGACAGGACAGAATCACAGGCCTGAAGCAGAACAGACATAAAGGTATTTCCTGTTAGTCAGCGCTTAGAAAAATTGTAGTCATGGCGTTTTCAAAAGATGGCTTTCCCTGTACCTTCTCACATGGAGGGAGTGTATTTATAAGGGACAGCCATATTTTTAGACCAGGGGTTGCTAGAGAACACAGCATGCTGGAATCTCATTGAGCAGACAGATGACTCGTCTTGCGTCAGTCTGCCCCCGGGGTGAAGAGAGGGGCAGTTTTGGCAGAGGAGGTGGAGGAGGGCTCGCCGTGAAGCAGCAGGGCCAGATAAGCAGTCCTGTGCCTGGCCTCCCTCCTGTCCCCCGTAATCTCCCAACGAGAGTCTCTAATCTCAAAGAAAGTGGTTAATCTGTTTGCCTCCGTCTGCCCCTGTCTGCTTTGCCAGGAGGGGCCAAGCTTATGTTTAAGGAAGAGGAGAGGGGGGCCTGCTTTTAAAGTGCTCCTCGTTCATTGTTTAGGCTTTTCCCTCTGAAGACTCTTCCTCAGTCTTAAACATTCGCTCTCGGTGTGTTGCTCTTTCTGTCTCTCACCTTTACACACAGGCACACTTTCTCAAATAGGCGAGGTATTTTCCCTCTCAAGTGTGAGATTAGGACTGCTGCTGCAAAAATTGCAGAGAGAGTGAACAGAGGAGGCTTTGTGTGAACAGAACTGCACGCTTATCTTAAAAGCATAAATTCATGTTCCAGCCACAGACACAAGGGAGAGAAGGGATTGCAGTTTAGCCTTGAACCCACAGCCAGAGGCCATGTGTTAAAGAGAGAAAAATGGAGAGAAGATCTGAAGAACAGATTAGATGGGTGAACTGCTCTACTTTAAATCTGCCAGACATTACATTTAAAGGATAGTTCACGTTTATTAAAACTTGGGCCAGGCCATAAATGCTATCTGTAATATTAACACTGTAGTCACCAAGAGAAATGCTGATGTCGGGGAACGGGGCAACATTTCTAACTTAATCTAACTTATTCTAGGGTAATCAAACCTATTTGGAAGAGAAAACAAAGGCAAACTGTAAAAGTCTTAGCTGACATGAGGGATTATTAGTAACATTTCAGGTGCATTCAGTCTTAGTTTTAGTTAAGATAATCTGGCTAAACTCATGGCTTGTTTATGACCTGTTTTATCATCTGACTGCATGTGTGTTTTGCCTCCATTGACCTTGTTGTAACATTAGAAATGTTGCCATATTACCACCAGATATTAGCGTTATTACTTGAGTTGGCACAATGTCATCATAAGTGATAGAAATGATGGACAAAACTGTGAAAACATGACCCAAGTGGTAATGAATAAAGATTGAACCACTGTGTCTACATTATGATAAGTATGAAACTTACCTTTCTTACTTTTGTACAGAGCCAGGCTAGCTGTTTCCCCATCTCCAGAATTTGTGCTAGCGTTAAACTAAGATAGCTTTGTATCTTCTGCGCAAACATGACACTGGTATCAATTGTATCTAGTATTTGGCAAGAAAGAGAATTGAGTGTATTTCCCAAAATGTTGAAATACTGCATGCGTCAGCGGAAGATCAAAGGGAGCACCTGGGGGCCTAACCGTACAGTGTATGAATATCATCTGGGTTGTGGTGCTGTATCCTTCTGCACGTGGCCCACAGAGCAGCATCTCATTCCCACAGTTCAAACAGACAAGCCTGTCACCAGTGTGCACCAAACACTTCAGAAGAATGTGTCAACTTTGCCCCACTAAGGAGGGGGGGGAGAAGCGGGCTTGTCTTGTAGCCAGAGAGAAAGGGTAGGTGGGTGGTTGGAGTGGGGGGGTGGGTACAGAGGCAGGAGAGAGCAGAGCAGTGGCAACGTTACTAATGAGCAACAGGTGCTGGAGGGCAGTAGCATGGAAGCCATCTGTACCGCTGGAAGGCATCTATCCACATAGGCAGTGAAAAGACACAGACACACGCACACGAAACTCATTGACACCAGCGGATAAAATATAACGTGTCAGCCGTGCTAGTGTGGTTTGCTGGGTCATCACTTGACCTTCCTGCTGCTTTGAAAGTTGCCAGAGCCGAATTGTGACCCTGGTCAAATCGACCCCAGTCACCCCTGACAGACAAACTCACACACTCAATCACCCTCTTGCTGACTTGCCTTCAGGTCAGCAGCAGTCATATTGAAGGCAGATGAAAGTTTGTTATTTACTGTGTCCATTGATGTTATCGTCACTATTTTTTTTTTTTTTTTTCCACTTGTGTACTTTAGGAGAATAAGTTCAACCCCGAGGTAGTGGAGCACATCTACCAGCACAACCCCATCCTGAAGTATACCCAGGGCCCCCTGTATGCCCCTCTGCTTCCCTTCCCCTATGGCAGCCTGGAGCACACATGTAAGTAGTTCCTATGCACACGTCATACATTATCATACAAGTTGTGTGTGTAGCGGCATAGAAAAATGAAAATAATGATAAACTATTTCTACAGCACTTTGAGAGAGTGCTGATTGGCTGAATCTTCCTTCAAGCTGTTAAGAAATATATAACAAACGCACATCTTTTCTGTGTTAATAATAACTTATGCTGTCTAATGGAAACTGACCACTCAAGGCTTTATCTCTGTACAGCTAAGAACCATTTTATTTAACTGCAGTTCAAGGACTTTGATGCTAAGTGGAAAGAAGCAGTGTAATCTCTGTTATTACTGTGCTGTTTAAATTGCTGAGAGGCAGCATTAAGCTCAATGCAATGCAGGTCATTACAATAACTGCTTGGCTGCTTCATTAAAACGTGAAAACAGGTGCATACCACAAAAAAAGATTAGAACAAACAATAGTAAGATGGTAGTGATTCTCATTATTATATTACAACATCAACCTTTGCTGCAACTCAATGGTATTTACATGACAAAATGTGAACATTATACATAAATCCTGGGGAGGTAGAAGGCAAAACACTGCAGAAAGAAGTCCAAGCATTAACACAACATTGCACTGCTCTTCCTCCTCTCTCCAGACCACAGCGGGAAAGGCTACGGCTCGGTGCGTGAGGAGGCCGTGAAGCTCTTCAACTGCCTGCAGCAGCTGGAGTCGGCACGGGAGCCGGTTCCCATTATCCAGGGAGTGCTGCAGACCTGCCTGGACCTGCGGCCCCTCCGCGACGAGGTCTACTGCCAGCTAGTGAAGCAGACGAGCTACACGCCTGCCCCGTACACTGCCGCACACCTCCGCTACTGGCAGCTTCTCACCTGCATGAGCTGCACCTTCCTTCCTGGGCCAACTGTGCTCAAGTACCTGCGATTCCACCTCAAGAGGTGAGACAATAGTTTGTTTAACTCAGATCAATGTACTCACTTGAGAGCAGGGATTTCCTTGTTATTGCTGTGTATTTTGGGAAATTAGAATCCAAACTTTTGAGTCCTCAGGAGTCTGACTTGTAAGCTGACGTAAACTCTGTTTTCAAGTATAAAGCTTGTATTTTTTCCTTTTGCAATATAATGTGAATGCAGCATTCAGGTTGGATTTATTCATGTTGGATTTAGCATAAATAAATCTTGCTGACTGAAGAAAGCTGTTCACATCATCTCCCACTTGTAATTGCCAGTGGAAAACATGGACTTTTACTTGTTTTTTCTGGCCCTGATTTGTCCCACTGGGAAACATGACTTGTGGTGGACAAGTGGAAAACACAGCAGCGAATTTGTCTATGTTGACAGCTTAAGGTAGCAGAGACCAGAGTTGTCAGTTAACAGTAATATTGCAGTGTTTATTTTATAGTCATGAAAATGATTTTACAGCAGCGTGACCTAAAATCAAGCGTGAACTCAAGTTGTAGCAGCATGGTGCCGTCCCAGTTCCATATCATCGGGACATCAGACCGGCAGTCTGATGGGAGGGTTGGCGGGAGTCAGTGAGGGAGATCAGGTTGAATGCTGGGAGATAAAGGCGAACTAGTAGTCTGGAGTGGCAGAGAAAACTGGGGTCTAGACTGGGGTCTAAAAAGTAGGCGTCAGCATCCCTAACCACCCGCTTAGATATAGTAGCGTGATATGCCTTCACATTGTTAGCGTGTTCCCTCAGACAGCTCCAGTCTTTTAGGGCTGGATTTGCAGGTCTGAATTAGCCCCTCTGCCAAGCATGCCAATCTAAGTTATTAGCAGTGCTAATCTCCTGCTCCAGATTTTCTGTCTAACACCGTGCCATCAAACCACTAAAGTTCTCTATCTATATTTCTGTACTGGGAATCTGCCTCCAGCTAATGGAACAGTTGCATGCGATGGCGATTCATAATAACACAGTGGAACTCACTGCCTGTGTGTTTTGATACGTCTTGCCGGCGCTCTCACGCACTCTCTCACTCGGTGGATCAGTGCTGAGGCTGCAGCTGGGCAGAGCTAAGACTGGAGCTGGGCAGTGGGCCCAGAAACCCTCCTCCACTCCCCCAGTGCCCTGAGAAACCCCCAGGGAATGTCTGCTGTCAGAGAGAATAGGCCAGAAGAAAGAAAGCAGAGGAGGAGGAGGGGGCAAGAGAGGAGGAAAGAGCAGAGAGGGGTGAAGAGAGGAGAGTATAGGAAGGCTCACACAGACTGAGTGGAACATTCCTAATTATGTTTCAGCAGGACAAATCCCACCCTGTGGCCATATAGTTATGAGAGAGTGAGACATCGGAGGGAATGAGAGGGCCTCTCTCTGTCTGACAGAATATTTGAGGCCCTCTTGTTTGCCTCTCTCTGTCCTCTGTTTTGTATATTTTGGGACGAACATCGCAGTATAATTGTTTCCTTCCTATTTTTTCCCTTGGTATTTACACAGGGCTGAGCTCGTAACTCCATCAGGTTGTGTTTCACACCTTTCACACCCTGCAAAGTGTGTGAGACTTCAGGCTCCAGTTGGAGTGTGTCTATCGTCCACTGCTTTTTTGTCCCCTCTTTTTAAAACACCCCCCCACACACACACACACACACACACACACACGCACACACACACACACACACACACACACACAAACACTCACCTACCACTCCTGGATGCTCCACTGGGAGGAAGTGGCAGGTCACTCTGGTTCAGAGGAGCGGAAACACCTTTTCCTGTTTCGTGCGCTACCCAAAGTCAAACATGTTTTCTTTGCCATTTTCCTTTTCTTTGAAGGACTGAGGGATGTTGAGCCTTTTAAGTCCCTAAGAGCTAAAGTGAGAACATTTGTCATTCCTCGCCTCATTGACTTTCGAGCATTGCCAGCCCAAAGAAAATAAAGAACTCAGTTGAATCAAAGGATGACGCAAAGTCCATAATCGCAGCATAACACTCTACAGACTTTGAGTCACTGTTAACATCACGCGCATTAACAAGTTCTCCCCTTTTTAAGTATCAAATCTATTTAATTTTGCTGGCAAATATCTAGCGATTCTAAATGTGCTTGCATGAGCACACACACACACCCATCTCACTCTCTCACTCTTTCTTGCAGGATTCAGAGCCAAAGTCCTGAGTCTGAGATGGATAACTATGCGTCATTCATCAGCGAGGCTCTGGAGAAGACCAAGTGTCGGGAGTGTGTGCCATCCTGGGAGGAGATCCAGATGCTGATGAGCAGACAGGAGATGCTGTGCACTGTGCACTATCCTGGCCCTGGGTCCTGCCAGCTCTACATCAGCTCACACACCACTGCCAATGAGGTTTGGACGCATCTGTCTGCATTTTTGTATTTTCTTAGCCATTTTATCTTCTCACATGTTCCTGCTCAGAATTCCCTAGCCCAGTCTGGAGTCTAGTATAGTGACATTGCTAAGTAATGATAATCACAGCCTCTGTGTTTCTGCTTCACCAGGTGGTCCGAAGGATGCAGGAGAAGCTCGGCCTGCAAGAGAGCAAAAACACATTTGCACTGTACGAGCAGAACGCACTGTGGGAGCAGCCGGTGGCGGGCAGTGCTCTGATCGCAGACATCCTGACCAGGTTTGAAAAGTAAATCAGTCAGTGTTTACCCTGTAAAACAGACAGACACTGTGAGGAAGTGACACACAGTAAACACCAAGCAGACAGACACGCTATCAAAACGCCTCGTCTAGTTTTAGGAATCCGAGCTATCTGTCACTGGTGGAGTGTGTATTTATCTTGACTTGTTCAACTCCCAGGGTGAATGTTATCCAGTATCCTTGATAACTGGTGACCTTGTCTGGGCCTGTCGGTCAAATGTGACACCCTGCTGGGAAGCTGGACTTGTGTCACTATCTCTGTCGGCAAAGGCCAGCTGCCCCAGCCGTCGCATAGCCAAGGTGAAGCTGATGTCATTTGGTTGTACAAGGGAAAGTCTCGAATGAAACGATAAGGCATCCAGCGGGAATAAAAGGGATCTGTGTTTTTTTAACAGGCGTGGGCGTCTGTGTCCTCACAGTGCTGAGAGACAGGGTCAACATGAAACTCAGCAAACTGCCAAGTTACTAAACAACAATAGTGCAAATCGGGGAGGCAGTATCTTGTAACATATTAACATCCAGGCTTAAGATTCTTGGTGTACCATTTGGGTATTGGTATATTTGCTCCCCGCCCCACCTTCCTAACCCTTTCTGTCCCTGCTCTGTGCAGCTTCTCCACCAAAGAGTCAGAGTCGAAATCCCAATGGAAACTGTGCTTCAAGCTGTACTGCCTGTTGGATGCCGACAGCATATCAGTGGACAGCATTGAGTATCTCTTCCTCTTTGAGCAGGTAATAGAGCAGAACACGACACGAGTTAGCTTTTGAGAGCGGCTTTGTTAGAGCGACCCCTCCACTGGTGATAATGAGATATAATTTATTATCCTGCAATGATTCATTGCTCGTATTTCATTGGATTATTATGTTTTTACTTAACAATCATTAATGTCTTCACGGGCTGTGATTGCAATAAAATGCAGTGCATAAAAAGCGTGACTAAGAGCACTGGCTGTAGTGCAGAGGGGGCAAAAAGCAGCCAGCACTAGGCTTTATTAGAACATTTTTTCCCGAGGACTCCCATAAAAGAGTTATGGGACAAAATAAAACAGGGTGGGGTAGAGAGGATTGATGGAAGGACTGAGGCTATTGCTGATACATTGTACCTTATTTTCATTCTGTTCTGTCTCCTCGCTTGTCCTTATTTTGGCCTTTGTGCTGCAGTGCCACGAGATGGTCGTGCGTGGCCAGCTGCCAGCCTGTGAAGAGGACCTGCAGGCCTTAGCTGCCCTGAGGCTTCAGTGTCTGATGGGTGACTTCAGCACGCACGCCCCCTGCCCGCCTCTGGACGAGCTTTTCCCAGGTCACATGCTCGAAGCTCGGGTCCTCATGTCCCTCTCTTCCCCGCAAGCCCTGCCTCCTTGTCTGGTGGCGG